TGGATGCGCACTGCTGAGGAGTCCCATACAAGGACGAAACGGCCGTCCAGCGCTCCCAGGTTTTCCATGGTTTCAATCTGTGAAAATCTACATCAATTGCCAAATTCTACAATAATGCTTAGTTTTCAATAGAATACTAATTCATAATTCAAATAAATAACCATTCCACTTTTGTTTTCCTTATTTGTTTTTATTTCTTCATATTTTCTCTTATCTACAAAATTTCACTCCATTAAAATGAATAGATGACTCATAGAGACTAATAACTCGTTATAAATTTTTTTTATCTTTCTTCACATATTAATAATTTACCACTTACTCTATAGGTTATTCATTTATTTGTTTATCTCTATTTTTCTTTCGCCTTTTTTTGTTTTTAGTTGGAGGACAGTTGGTTAATCAATTTTCAAATTGTCTTACGCTGTTTTTTCTCACTTCACACTACCTCCTCTCCCTCTCTCTCTCTCTCTTCATTTCACTCTTGTGAATTATGAATTGTGTAACTATTGTATAAATATTAAAACCAAGCAAATATATATATTTTTTTCTTTTTCTTTTTTAAATCATTTCTGTTTATATCCCTCTTCAATTGATTATTATTGTTGTTATCTATTTAATATATTTACTATCATTTATTTCTCTACCTTCTCATATATTCTCACTTAGTTACTATGGTATACTATATATATATATATATATATATATATATATATATCATCCTACTACACAAATTTTGTCTATAACAGTTTATAAATGACCATTAAAGTTTCAGTTTATAGATAACAATCATAATAATACTAATAAAATTGGTTACTAGTAAGTACTATATTGCCTTGTTTTCATAATTTCTTAGTAAAGAAGTAATAAAGTATTTCGTCCTAACTGTAAATCGAACAAAAACCTTATGTAAAAATATATAGATATGCATAGATATAGATATTAATGTAGACAGTGAATATTGTGGTCCCGTAAGCAATTTTGCTTATTATTATTTACAAAAGATGTTTGCAAGTTTTTCTCTCTTTTTTCATTGTCACCCCTAACATTTGTTTCCACTTATAGTTTTTTTGTTGCCTCGACAACACAAAATCATGTATCCAGTTTAAATGTTAAATAAGAAAAAGAAAGATAATTGGACTACTAATACTAATACTAATAATAATCATGGAAAATTTCAAAATTGATCTTTTCTTTTTTCATTAATCTAGTAATGCCTGAAGCTATTTAGTTCTCTGTTTTCTCTTCACTTATAATCAACTAAAAAGAAAAAAGTAAAGCAAATAACAGTGTAAAGAGCCACAAAATGATTTCAAAATTCATATACATATCAAGTGGTTGTAGACCATGAACAGAAAACCTTCAACCTAAGTTTCATGTTAGCTAACACTCTTTAACAAGGTGAGAGGAAAGAAAATGAAAATTTAAATGTAGACGTAAATGACTGACGAACAGATTGTGACTTCCAAGCTAGTCAGTGAGCAAATTTATGAAAAAGTATATAATTGATCGAAAAATTAAACCGTAGCAGAATATCTTGTTTATATATCTTCAGTAAATCATCTTCGTGGATTGATTGAAGTTAGACATTGACACCGTTGGATGCCGGCTCAGTTGTCTAATGGTCAAGTGCTCGCGCGAAACCAGTAGGTCCTGGCTTTGAATCCCGCGAGGTGCGGGGTCGTTGATGCGCACTGCTGAGGAGTCCAGTACCAGGACGAAATGGCCGTCCAGTTCTTGCAGGTTTTCCATGGTGGTCTAGCTTCAATTGACTCATGATTTCAACTTGTGAAATATATATATATATATATATATATATATATATATATATATATATATATAAGTCAAATAACATTCATGAGGGCCTAGATCATTGCTTATATAGTCATCAATCGTCATTTCTTTTAAGAGGTGTTTTTCACTATGCGCATGATTTGTCTTTTTGTTGAATCAATTAGATCCGTGTTACATTTTTTTCCATTAATAGATCGTAACATAATTAGTTGAAATGATCATGTTTGGTGTCTCTTCAATCATTTATTTTTGGATAAAAGTTTGTAAAGTAAGAATAACAAATAGTGAGAGATAAAATGAGTTCATTTAAATGATTCATTTACTTTTCCATATACACAAACAGTTATATGTATATAGAATATTTTACAAAAAAAAATCTCCTATATGGAACATGTAAGAGACATTTATAACTACTTCCTACAATCTCATAACTTCAGTTCTTTTGTAAGAACAGATGAAATGAGAGAGATTATGACTTAACCAATCACATAGGACATGTGTAATTTCATTTTAGTTAAGTAAATCTTAAGTAAAATCGTAATAATAAGAAAAATCCCCGAATATAATACTAGTCTAATATGTTTTGAAAGTTCTAAGATGATGTCAAGAGTTGGATTTTAAAAAATCAACAGGGGATCAATGTTTATAAGTTAATGAAAGAAACAAAACAATGAAACCAAATATGAAAATTAAATATAATGAAACTGGAAACTCAATGACAAAAAAATCTAGGATATGTGTGTTATTTCTACTAAGTTATTGAAAAGTGTGAAGACTATCTGTAAAGTTCAACGAAGTAATGATTAAGAATTGTCAGTGAGAAATGGTAGATGTGATGAAGACGCATCTTATCAACGTACATTGGTACTGATATGAGAAATCACAAGTGTTTGTTTGGAATGTTTTATTAAGTCTTGAATCAATTTATTGATTATATATAATCCTGTAATTGGATTTATTACATGACTCGTACCCATAGCATGTGTTTAAATTTTTCAAATAGCATCCCCTCTATTCTGTTGGTATACATGCTACAGTAAATACAGGTAAATGAGAAAATATAGTTAAAAGTGAAAAGAGGCTCTCTTATTTAAATCAGTCTATTTCAGTAAGTTTTGTGTTCTGTATAAAATTATAAAATAAGGAACAAGGAATATCAGTTCGATACAAGGCTTTATTGAACTATCAACAGATCTATCCATACAAATTTCACCCATCTATCATGTAAGAATGCACGAAACAACTATCAATTCGAATACCATATCAAGTATAGTAACCGATTTAAATCCGTGTACAATCAAGTATAACCAATCATAAACCTAAAGTATCAAGCTGAATAGCTAGATCACATGTTTAAAGAATCTGAAAACTCATTTACTTTGAAAATGAATTAAGAATGATCATAAAATTACCATTGATCAAATCATTTGTACCACACAAAATGAAATCACTGAATACGCTTTATTTAAATACAATCGAAAATGAGGATAAAGATTTTTAAAAACAGATAAAGATTGATACAAAATTCAAGTTTTGAATGTAATTACTGTACCGTGACCAAATTCTCCGTTATGTCATCTAATACTGTTTCAAAGTTACCTCGGATTAAATACTTGAAAATCACTCAAGATCTGTATTTTCATATATATGCTACGTTTGCAATGTTGTAAAGAAAGTAGCTCCTACTCAACATTTTGTTAAGTATTATGAAAAACTTTATAACAATTGCCTTCATTAATAACAAAGTATTTTGTTATAACTTGGGGACTTGTGACCTATTAATATATATGATATAATAATATCACCAATTAAAGAAGTGAATTATCAATCAGATCAATGACACATAAAACCCATACGAGCAGTCTAGAATCTTTATCAGTCCTGCTTCCCACCTAGCCCTGCCTGTTAAGTCAAGAACATGAATCTCAGCCTTTCCGATATGAATCATGTATTTTAAATATACTGAGTTTATATACATATCAAACAGACCACATCTTACCATATAATAGAAAATAACATTTGTACAAGATCTAGTTAAAAGTGCCTATGATTATGAGTGTCTGTAATTAATAGACAGGACATAACTCAAGAACGGTAAATCGTATCATAATAGTCTATTGATCAAAATAAAGCTTAGAATAAGAAGAATATGAATATACATAGTTCATTCACTTAACAACTATACAATAAAAATATATGTATCATATTAATTCATAAATAGTTCTCAAAAGTTACCATTTATAATTCTGGTTAAGATATAACACATTTCTAAGACAAAATTTACTTTTCAAAAAAAAAAAAAAAAAAACTATAAAAATCATCATTCATATGTTGATAATCACTTGTTTAGCATAGATACTATTCTATTACATCAAACTGTAATGAAAACTGAAATTTTTCAGATTATATACATAACCTTGTACAGTTTATTGTTTATTCATTCATCCAGCTATAAAAAGATCTAATGAATGAATGTCAAATGGTTTAAACAATACAATTTAATACTTATGAAATGAATAATAATAAATTTAGTTTTTTTATTATTTGTATTTATATTTGTCATTAATATCAAAAGGGATTTTCTAGATATTATATGAATTTTAATAGTTGATATCATGAGTTCGTTAAAGCCAGACCAACATGGAAAACCCGGAAGAAATGGATGGTTGTTTCGTCTTAGTATAGAGCTACTCAGCAGTGCTGGGTTTGAGTCTCGCGGGGTGGGCCGGGATCGTGGATGTGCACTGCTGAGGAGTCCCATACTAGGACGAAACGGCCGTCCAGTACTTCGAGGTTCCCCATGGTGGTCTAGCTTCAATTGACTCATGATTTCAACTAATGAAATTACTAAAATCACCACAAAACTTCTTCTGATATCAATTGTTATTCATAAAAGGATAATAAATTTTCTTATATAAACATATTCCCTATACATTTTCCACTGATCACCATTTAAACTTATCATATAAATAATAATAACTATATATATATATATACTCTATGGTTTTGAGATGGTGGAGAAGATTTGTGGTTCAAATAGATGATTCTGATGAAGTTTTGTCAAGTTTAGTTGACCAAACCATTCAGCTTAGTGAATAAAACTCTATCAAAATTTACTATATTCATTTATTTATTCATTCATCCGTTTAAAGTATCATTTAAAATTCAATTAGTCAATAATAATTATAATAAATGATTATTCTCTTTTTAAATAACAATATTTTTATTAGGGTTTCCTTTTTATTATTATACTTTGTATTATACAGAATCATTATGATACAAAATAATAAGAATGAGCTAGTTATTTTATAAAATAAAACTCAAAGCAACCAATAATTACATACATTAATTTGTTTTTATACATTTATTTTATATTAGATTTTATTTATTATCCGGTTACCGGGCAAATCCAGGATTATCATACGCTGCTACACTTCGATGTGAAGGGAAATAAGGAAAATGCATTAAACTTTTACTATAATTATATCCTTCTTTAATTTGCTGTTGTTGTTGTTGTTGTTGTTGTTGTATGACGTGTGATGATAAGGTATCATTTTTATTAATAATATTATTATTATTACTACTAGTAGTAGTATCGTTATTATTATTTAAATATGTTGAATTTGTTGAAATATCACATTCATTAGGCGATAAATATCCTGCAACAGATACTTTAAATAAATCAAAATTTTGATAAATACATGGATATGGTTTTTTATCGAAAAGAGTTGTTGGTTGATTTAGAAACATTACAGGACTTAAAGCTTGACGTTTACAAAATGATGCGAATGAATCACATTCTGTTAAATGTTCAATAACACTAGGACGATTGTAAATAAGAAAAAATACAGGTCGATAAGCACGATGTAAATGCTGCCGTAACATCACTACACTACTTGATGAATGAATTCGTTTCGATGATTCTTTGATTTTATTTTCTGGACTACTTTGAGATGAACTCCTGGTGTCATCATTTCCTTTAGTGTTCTGAGGATTTTCATCAGTAAGTGAATCATCTGATGATGGTGGATCAGGAATATTTCCAGGTTTAATTTTACTGTTTGATATGGTAGCATAATCAAAAGAAGAAATAGTAAAATATGAATTCATTTTATCATTATGACTAATATCAGATTTTAATGAAAAAGATTCTGCCGCTGATGGAAAATTGGTGTCATAAATATGACAGTTGGAATTATTTATTGTTTCAGTATTTTTCTCATTAGTCAGTAAAATCAAATTTCTGTAGCCATATACATCAGACCTACTGTAATCTCCACTTGGAGTAACTGTAGAAAGGAAATGTGTCACTATACTAAGATTGTGACAATTTTCACCACCAACTTCGTTATGCCTTAATCCAGGAAGTGTCCATATTTCACCCAGCTTCCACGACATTTGTTCACCAGTAACACTTAAGGGAAGAGTTTTTACAGTTTTACTGTAAGTACTTGGTCGACATTCACTGTCAAACAGAATCAATGGAGTTAAATTTTGAGGATTTATCCCTGAAATCTTCTTTAATTTGATAGCTCTTATTACTACATCAGCCACGTAATCCGCCGCAGCATGTATTGAAGGTAAGTTTCTCAACATACCGAGCTGATATTCATATATAATGCATAGTTGTTGTGCAAAGCCTGATAGAATTGAAAACCTTTGTGATTCAGTAGTTAATTCAGCAAGTCGGAATAAAGGTCCTCTACATGTGTTGACAACATTTTGTTCAAATGGTGTACAAGAAGGACTCTGAGCATTTGAATAACATTTTCTAGTAATGGTTACATCAGGTATTTTTGGTTTGCGTCTTACGAACTCACATGGTTCATCAAAGTCAGAATGATTCTTTATCCAATCATTTTTTTCATCTTGAGACAATAAAGATTGGCGTTTGTTATTGTTGAGTGTGAAAGACAGTCGACGGAACAGTGGTGAGTTAGTTAAGGAACGAATTTTCATCAAAGGTGAATGATATGTTTGCTTTTGATTGGCAATTTGAAAACTTATGTCCCGAGAAGAATAAGAACTTTCATTTTTTAAACGGTTGTTTCCACATTTTATTTGTTGATCAAGCAAACGTCGAATAAAGGGTAAATCACCAGAAGCATTTTCATTTTTAATACTCACTTTTGATGCTGACAACGTTGGTGATGAAACATTTGAAGACCCAGAAGGGCTTTGAACACAACTGTTTGAAGCATATGAGATCGCTTGTATTAATTTGGATTCAAATGATTTTATAAAGCGATTAACAAACCATTTCAAATTAAGAAGGACTTTCTCTCTGTTTGGACATCGATTCATAATATTCTCCCTTTTCAGGGAGGAGCTCGTTTGTAAGGTGATTTATACGTCCAATAACGAATAAAGTGCTAATGCGAGGATTATGTACTTATGATGCGTCTAAACGACAACGTTTATTGGTCGATGTTAGAATCTCAATTAGTGACCATCAACAGTCAACGAGAATTCGCAATAACGTTTTATAAGTCACTATCATTTTTATGGTAAAATGAAGTAGAATGAAGTGGTTTTTCAGCTCTCCTTTAAGTGGACTTTTCTAAGCGCGATTTTAAACATCAAGGTTAACTTACAAATGTGAAATTCAGTAGAATGCCTGGAACAGTCAAAGTGCGGGTTATATCAGCAAGAAATTTACCAGTTATGGATAGAGCAACATTTCTTACAGATGCTTTTGTTGAAGTAAATAGATTTCGATATCATTAGTGGTTACAGTTGTGTATCGGAAGTATAACTTACAAAACAGAAGTAGTCCGTCGATCTCTTAATCCTTCATGGAATAGTGAATGGTTCTGTTTCGAGGTACCTGTTTTCTGTTTTTTTACAGTCTGCAGTTAGATGACCAAGCTCTACAAGACGAGGCGTTACTACTAAAGTTTGTAGCTATTAGATTTTTAATTCTAATAATTAGAGTTATGGATCATGACACTTATAGCGCACATGATACCATCGGGAGAGTTTACTTTGATTTAAATCCCTTACTGAGTCGTGGCCAAACCAGGTGTTTAAATGGTTGGTTTCCAATCTATGACACTATGCATGGAATTCGTGGGGAAATCTGTTTGGCTATTCGAGTAGATGTATTTCTTGACGCTAGTCGCTATCACCAATCTTCTCTTGGAGTACGCTTCTATCACTGTGAGTTCACATGACGACTATATTATATATAAACATACTATAGTATTTAGTTCATCACTTGTCACTTTTACCGATTATCTTTCTGTCTGATTCATTACAACTATATTACTAGTAAGGTTTTGTATGGACCAAACTACGTCACTAATGCGCATGCAGCCTACGTAATGAACGCAAATAATGCTGCATATATTTGATTTCATCTTGAATACATCATCAAAATGTATTGGTACCGTGTGTTTTCGTTAGAAATTTCAAGGATCTAAAATCCTGTGCAAGAAACAATTCATGAAATGGAAGTAATTCTATTTTAGTTTTCAGACTTTATCATGATGCTCTAAATAGTGGATTCTAAGTAGGAAAACCAAGAAGGTACAGACAAACTACTGTACAGTCTTTAAAGTTCGAATACAATATTGCTTATCAACCCTAATCATTGTCATTACATTTACCTTAGGATAATATTACCTGTTCTCCCAGATTCCTATGGTAACAGCTTTCCTGTTATTTTGAATAACTGTCTATACTCCTATTCGTTTAAATGATCAAATCCACTATACGATTATTTTGCCGTCTCTGGTATTCATAGTTTTCCATAGTTTACTGCCGTCTGGAAATGTTACAATTGATCTAGAAACATATGTGGTTCTCTTACTTGAAGTAAACAGTTGAGTAAACCCTAAATTATATGTTGAGACACCGCAACATTTACAAGCTTTCCTTTGGATAAATATCTTTTACTCATTTCATTGAAAAATCTTCCAACTCATTCTTCAGATTTACACTAGATTGCGAATTTCCCCAGTTCCTTCCTAAATATAAAGTCCTAGACTTAGCAAACTATTTACAGACATGTACACAAACTGCGTCGATCGTTACATTATTGTTCCTTCTGTGTTCTGATTTTTGTGCAGCGAAGTTATTGAATCAAGAGCCACAGAGTCACCAACCAACTTGACGAATAACGTCAGGATGCATAATTATTTCCAGTATTTCGATAGCTGTTAATATCAATTAAACAGTCGTTGACATATGTAAACCCCTAGTGTGGCAAGGCTTCTGCTCTCACTCCACTTTGTAATGATTACCTGTAAAACGTCTTTAGCTGGATACAATGAACAGTAATAAACTATCCTAATTACGAATATATAACCAAGACACTTGAATTCACATGTAATTCCTTCACAGTGGTTCTGCTGGCGTGCTAAAGAAGTAAACTAGGATTGTTGGAGTTGGCCGCTTAACTAAAGCACTGATCTGTTATCCATGCGGCGTATAACTCTATTGCACTGCAAATTTAATTTATACTGATCATACTAGGGTTGTTTTTAAGAGAGAAACAGATTCCACTTTTAAAAAAGCAGTAGCTAGACTCAGATTGTTCATCAGCTTTCCATATCCATGGTTCTTGTTTCCGAACCAAATGGGTTAGTATATAAAACTTAAAACCTAGCCAGTAAACATTACTTTATCATGGGATTACCAGTTGTATTCAACTTTGAAACCTGACTTTTTTAAGGTTTCTAAATTGGGGGATCTTCATTTTGTGGGGTCTTTATCTAATTCAACCAGCGTTTCTTTCCATTTGATTTCATTTTACTCGGGTCATCTAGTTCAAAGATTCTTACTTGGTGTGAATTTACGAGCAACAGTACATATTCCTGCTCAGATTGTATCACTTTTTTAAATGAATGGCGAGAACGGAAGTCATTGGTCGATTTTTCTGTTATAACTTGTGGCCTGTGTGCCCTGTTAATGTATAACGTAATGATACCGCCAATTAGAGAACAGTGAATTATCGATCGGACCAATGACGCGTAAAACCCGTACGAGCGCTCTGGAGTCCTTATCGGTCCAGCTTCCTGCCTAGCCCAGCCAGTTAAGTCCAGATCACCGATCTCAGCATCTGCTATATGAATCGTTTATTTCAAACATATTGGATTTATATACCAACCAAACAGATCACATCGTACCATAGAATAGGAAACAACATTTGTACAAGATTTAGCCAAATGTGACTGTGTGTGAAGTAGTGATTAATAGACAGGGCATAATTCAAGAATGGTAAATCGTCTAATAATAGTTCATAGGTCAAAATAAAGCTCATAATAAGAGGGACATGAATATGTATAGTTTAGTTATTTAACAATTATACTATAAAATATACGCATAATATTGGTCCATAAATGGATCCCAAAAGTTACCATTCATTATGCTTATCGGGACATAACATTATCTTTAGGTCGTGATAAATCCTCTTGAAGGTCTCTCAGGTTATGTAGTACAGGTAAAGGTTCATGGTGACCACAAAACAACCAAAAGTATATTGCTCGGACGAATCTAAGTCATTCTGGCATTACTTATTTAGAGCAATTAGACAAGCAAAGGTAACCCTTAATTAAACAACTGCAGCCTTATTCTGATTGTTCGAAGTTTATGGTTTTGAAGTTATACCTCCTATTACATGAATAGTTCACAACCGAAGTATGCTTTTGATATCCACAAAATATTAATTCTTACCCTACGATGACTGGAACTGAAGCTAAAGAAACACTGGACAGTTGGAGAAGCAGCAGTACAAAGGTTCAAAACAGCCTTCCTACGAGATACAAATTCAACGAATTGAAAATAACTCTCAACAACAGGTTCCAAGCCTTACAGTATCTACTTAAAGAAAATGGAACTACTATGGAGGACAATTTGAAAGGCATCGAAGAAGCACTAACTTCAACACATCAGAATGTGCTGGGCCGCAAAAGGCATCATCATAAGGAATGGATCTCCATACAAACACTGGGCAAGATTGAAGAAAGAATAGGAGCATTAAAGCTGACAAGCAGAAATATGTGGAAAAGCTGGCAGTGACAGTGGAAAAAGCTGCATCTGAATGAAATATGAAACAACTACATAAGAAGACGAAGAAACTGGCAGGGAAGTATAATATACCAGAGAGAGCCGTCGAAGACAAACAAGGTAAGGTAATCACTGGGATTCAAGGACCGATGAACAGGTTTGTAAAACACTCTGAGGAACTCTTGAATAGACCAGCCACACTGAACCTACCGGACATCAAGGCAAGGCCTGATAATATACCAGCTGAAGCACTGAAGTCAGACATTGAAGTAACTGCCAACATGCCCCACGTTCTATTCAGAAAGATTTGGAAGAACAAGTGCCGATGGACCGGATAGAAGGACGCCTCATCAAGATACCAAATGAAGCAGATCTGAGCAAATGTAAGAACTACTGAGGCATCACATCACTGTCAGTACCAAGAAAAGTCTTCAACAGAGTATTGCTAAACTGGATGAGAAACGGACTAGACGCTCAACTCCGAGATCAACAGACTGGTTCTTATATGAAGTAATATATTTTTACTCATCCTTTTATGAGAGTTTTTAGGCAAAAAATGACCTTTACTGCACCAGGTAAATAGCCTCAATAATTATTGGGCGCCTAAAAAACACTCGTGAACTGCGAACGCGAGAAAACCAGGCTGGCTTCAGACCTGATCGTAGCTGCATCGACCATATATTCACCATCTTTCAGGTTCTAGAACACAAACATGTTTATCGGCGTCCGACAATGATAGTTTTTCTTGACTTAAAAGCAGCATTTGACCATGTAGACCCGTAAAGGTTCTGTGGCAGTATCTGCCGCTGAAAGGCGTGCCTCAGACTTACACAAGCCCTGTTAGGGCTCCTTACTCGAACACTACCAGTAGAGTCAGAGCTTATGGCGAACTGTCATCTGATTTCGCTACCTCAAGTAGGCGCAGAATATCTGGTTGGGACCCATGCGACTATCGTGACTAGAGATTGGAGACTCTGAGTGACGTGACTCAAAATTGGTCACAATGGCGTAGGGATATACACTTTGTTTCTCCTTAAACTGCTTCTATGAATTTGGTGTTCATCTTGTTGTGCTAATGAGGTGTAGCAACTTGAACCGATGCATAAATGTGCCTGGTCCTACGTTGTAGCTGATTGACGGTCTGTTAATATTTTGCTGTTATGTTCTACTGTCATCTCAGTGTGTTCCTTGTATTTGCGTTTCCTATATGTGTGCCCAAACTACTTAATTGAGACTATTGGCTAACTGAATTGAGAATATGTGGACAACGCATGCACACATGTTGTTCAGAAATTTAAGCGACGTTTTCTA